ATTAATCTATCTTAATATTGTTTCATAAATATAATTATTGTTCATTGTCCTTATTTCTTAACATTAACTGTTAATTTAACTTATGAAAAAGTATTAGTACATGCAGAAATTAACATTACCTATAACCTACAATAAATGCTTAAAAGTTTTCTTCTTCTTCTTAATATTATTTTGCAGTTAATGTATTGGGTATCATGAACTAAAAATGAACAATGATTTACTAATCTAGCTTAATATTAATTCATAAATACGTTTATTATTGATATTTCTTTAATACATGTTAATTTAACTTTTCTTTTTTGGACCAAGATTAAAGTGAGAAGAGCTACAATCCACAGAATAAATATAATGTAATGTAATATAAAGAACAGTGTCTATTCAAAATAGAAATTTTGTGTTACAATATACACTACCATTCAAAAGTTTGGGGTCAGTAAAGGAATTAATACTTTTATTCAGCAAGGATGTGTTAAATGGATAAAAACAAATGAGTGTAATGACTTACAGTATATTGTCAGAAAAAAATTATATTTGTTCTTTTTTAACATTTGTAACATCCAAAATAAAAGTTTTTGTTTACTTAATATATGTATGTGTACTGTGTATATTTATTATGTATATATAAATACACACACATGCATGCATATATTTCAGAAAAAAATATGTTGTTTTCAAATATGAAATATATTTATTTATAATTTATATGATATGAATATAAATATAGACATGTAAATATTTTCAAAATATATACTGTATGTATGTGCATTTATATATACATAATAAATATAAACAGAACAAACACATATATTATGCAAACAAAAGCTTTTATTTTGGATGCGATTAATCGCGATTAATCGCTTGACAGCACTAAATATAATATAATAATATAATATATCAATTTTGATTTGTTTAACATTAGTTTTGATCTTAATACTGTCGTTTTAGAATGTGTAAAATAACAAAAATAACAACATTTTTCATTTTGTAAGGGTTGCTTGCCTATACAAACTCACCACTAATACTAGGGAGTTGTGTGTGTTGTCCAGTACTTTGCCATGCGGTTGCTAGGGTGCTCTGTGTGGTTGCTAGAATGTTGACTTACTGGTCCAAGTCAAAAGAGTCCACCCACAAGTATATTATTATTATTATTAATATTGATATATCTTGGCACCCTTTGGCTTCTTCATTTTAAGTCTAGAGGATTTTTAAGATGAGTCACATGTGGAAGTTTAATACTTGGTTTAGGGGTCTCAAAAAACACCTCAAGTAATAGTAACAGTGATGCTTGCCTTAGTCCTACATTAAATCATTGTAAAATGCAAGTGTCTAAACCTGTGTTCCTGCCTATATGCATATGCACAAGCACACTGAAAATGACATTAAGCCCTCTGAAATGTTATAGGGCCGACCGCAGTCTGTTAAAGTGTGAAGCAGGAGGCCGAAGTGGAGGGTTTCATGAGAGTATTGTGTTAGCAGCCATATGTCAGCTTGTTAAATGAGATTAGAGAGCACTGGCTGTGCTGCCGAAGTGAAATCTGAACCTAATAATTTCGATGTAAAAGAAGATACCAAAAGAGGAGGCCTTCAGATGGCGGTTTGGATAAAACAGCTTAATATCCACCACTAAACACTTAAGAACTGCAAATTAGTCCAACGCAAGCAAAAATCTCTAAGCAAGTATGTCTATTGTATTCAAAAGCAAGATCGCTTGCTATAAATGCCCAGTATTAGACCTGACAAGATCATTTGTAAGAGGTGTTGACACCATTGTAAAGTCCTCTGGACAAATGTCAATAAGCTCTGAAGAGTGTCCTCAATTATATAAAGCATTCTTGTGTATTTGCCAGTTTAATAACAAGACATTTAAATTCTAGATGGCATATTGGTATGCAAAAACAAAAAATAGTTAAACAGATGGTTAAAAGCAGCAATTTGGAGCTCAAGCTTTTGCTCAAGTGCTTATATTAATTATTTAATGCAAAAATGTGTGTTATTTGAGCTGTGAAGCTCAACTGTCCTCCAGCTGCTGTCCTTGTCTGCAGTGTAGAAATAGGATAAGCGTCTGCCCATGACCGTCTCTTCGCATGATAGAAGAAAAAAAATGAGGGGAGCATTGGATGATAATAGCATGCCAAATTAACTGTAATTTTAACTGAGGGATGAGATTAAATTATTTGGTAATCAACAGCATGTCACAGACACTGTCCACAAAGCTTTACTTCTGTTGAACTCACAATAGGGTGACCAGACATCCCCATTTTTCAGGGAAAGTCCCAAAATTGTCCCCAGAAACGTGCCAGTTCAAAACAGCCCACGAATACACTGCAAAAAAGCCCAACCAACCTGGTTACCAGAACAATTGTCTAATCAGTATTTTCACCAACAGAGGGAGCTGCGAGCTGGACAACAATGGAGCACTATTATCATCAGTTATCAAAGACACTGTTATCAGTTTCAATGTACTAGTCACGTACTACAAGTTAAACGTAAGTAATATTGTTAGTATGTTTAATAAAATGCGGGATTGTTTTGCACACAATTTTAAACATTCCCGAATGTTACCCCATCGCAACACAGTAATTCCCACACCTTATTAATATCAGAGATAGTCTTATTATTGGGAGATTGGGTCCATGGCTGTACCATTAGAGAAAGCGTAACGCTTAACTTGGATCACACAGCCTAGACGTCACTGAATTTCTGTCAATCACTGTTTGCAGATACCATGAATTTGATAGCTCTTGCTGGGGGGTGGGGGAAATACTGGTTGGCTGGTTTTAGATGATCTTCAAGCCTGATTGTAGCTGATGCAGCAGGCTAGTTTTAGAGGGGTTTTGGCTACTTCCTTAAAAGAAAAAAGCTAAAACCAGCCTATGCTGGTTGGCTGGTCTTAAGCTGGACATAACTGGTTTAAGGTGGTCTCCCAGTCTGACCAAGCTGGTGTTCAGCTGGTCTCCCATGCAGGCTGATCAGCTAAAGAATTGGTAAAAAAAAAACTAAAATCAGAGTCAGACTGGAAGACCAGCTAAAACCAGACAACCATCTCTTAGGCTGGTTTAAGTCCCCCCCCCCGGAAACATGGCCTCTGGTCTCATTTAAGTGGCTTTGTTTATATAGGCTACTACTTACACTTGCAACAATTACGTTCCCAGAAAGCATACTCAAAATGAGCCTAAAATGCAAAATAATAAGGCCAATTAGGGTTAGTACGGATACATTTCCAAAAGCACAAACGTAAAATAACAAGATAAGTTAAAAAGGTAATTAAAAAAAAAAAACTTTCTCAGTTTTTCATTTATAGTTAATAACAAGTGATTTTTTTACGTGATATTTTGACCACTGAAATAGAAAATATCCCCAGTTTCCATTTCAGAAATATGCTCATTTTAAGCCAAATCATCCTAAATAGTCTAAAAGAGACCCAGACACATCCAGGCAAAAACATTCCAATAACGGAACAGTCTGTGGGATGATGCAGAGCAAAGCAGCATAAAAATATTCACGTTTAATAACGTCAATCTTTGCACATAATACAAATGCTTGTTTTCTTAATGAAACCACTGGCTATTTTAGTCACTGCTCGTAAGATGTGGACAAAACACTGGGGCATGTGGCGCAGGGTGCAGCACAAGCGGGTCTGAGAGCACCGGCCGAGCCGCACCCAGAGATTTCCAGCCACCTCAGGAGAGCTTGTTTATCACACAGCTGAGGTTTCATCCTGGAACGTGGAGGAGAAGGGCAAATATCTGCAGCCTGTCCAAAACCACAAGCCTCTCTTTCCCATGTCGTGCCTGACCCCGTCCTTCGTCATATTTCATTAATAATCCCCCGTGACAAGAACAGGATTTGGGATAATCTAGTTATGAGCACGGCTAAAATATTTAGGAGCTCACATAAAAATGTTACTCCTTTGAAAAGGATAAACTTTCTTCAGCATGGCTGGGTTTATCAGTGCCCTTATTCACAAGTCGTCTTCCCGCCTGAAAAAAACTATCTCATTGTGAGCAGTGACCTCTGTTGGTCATATATATTAGGCCTAGTCGATTTTGCAACTTGAGGAGAGAGAGTTTGGAAGTGGCCTCTGTTTAACAAGTGTGTCAGCCATGCAAGCCAGTGGCAAGACATTCGAATGAGTTCTGATGTTGTTTTAATGGATGGTTTATTATTAGAGGGACCTTATTACAACTAACACAGCATTTAAAGGGATAGTTCACAAAAAAACACACACTTATGTTGTTCCAAACCTGTTAAACACAAAAGAAGACATTTTGAAGAATGTTAGTTACAAAGGAGTTGCTAGAAGCCATTGACGACTTCTGATTAACACAAAGAAGGTATTTTGAGGAATGTTGGTAACCAAACAGATGCTGGTAGCCACTGACTTCCATTAGTATTTTACCACCATACTATGGAAGTCAATGGCTACCAGCAACTTTTTTCTTCTTCTTTCCAACAGAAGAAAGAAATTCATACAGGTTTGGAACAAGATGAGGGTGAGTAAAGGATGACAGAATTTTCATTTTTAATTTCAGTTTTCAGCGTGTTTAACAGAGCATACAGATAAATATTAACAAGATTTCTTCATTATAAATAATATTACCAATATAACAATTACAGGGAAATGTAACTGAAAAATGTACATTAATTAAAAAAAAATTAACATGTCTTTTAAAATCTGATAAGACTGATGAGGAAACAGCATATGACTGTGCAGATGCATCAACCGTCAACAGAACAAAATTATTTTTTATTTTCCATATAAATGCTCATTAAAAGCACTTGGTATTAAAAGAAATGAATACTAAAATGATATTATGTATTATTATAGCCCATCAAAGTAGTCACTATAAGATCCTTTCTTCAAAAATGTGATTATATGGGAAAATCTCTGAAAATCTAAAAAAGGACAAAATAATATGTAAATAAGCAAATAAATAAATAATAAAAAAAAAACAAAAAAAACCCCCAATTGTTTTGTTGTGCAAGATGTTCTTGTTCTATCACAGAAGAGTGCAAGATTTGGATTTTTGCTCATCATCATCATCCAGTCCCACTTTCTTCCTGTTTGGGTCGTTAAGCTCATCAAAGAGTCCGCTGTCAATCATCTCCTGTTGCCATGGAATTGGGACTGCTCCTGTGCTGAATTCTTTAAAAAACTTCTCATCATTGGCATTAAATTCAACCCCTTTAACCTCAGAGAAGTCTCGAATGTCGCCCGTGTCTTTAGCGTACACAACGTTGGGTTTGGGTACCCATGGAGGTGCAATAAGCCCCGCCTCTAGTCGAGGGATGTTGATGGATCTGAAGAACACATGTTTCCGAGGGTCATCCCTAAGGGCAAATAAACAGTTATGAATAAATGTATGGTTACTGCATGACATTTACTCACAATTAAAGGAATAATCCAGCCATATTTACTTACTATCACATCACACCAAAATTGCATGCTGCATTCTGTATTTAAAAACGTTTGCCGAAGTTTCCATTAAATTATGCAATTTGTTTCCACATTTTGAGGACGTCCAAATATTAGATGTTCTAAGATTTTTTTTGCTTTCTTCTTTTTTCCTTCTTTTGGAACTTAACTTAATATGAGTCTTTTGAAGGACAACAGCATTATGATAAACAGACCAATATCATTACATCCTGGCACTCTTTCCCTCTGTCACAGCTTTCAAATCAAATGCATCAGTTCTGCAGGTTGGACGTCGATAATATCAAACATCATTGGTTTTTGCAGGTCTTTGTGACTAAATGGCTTGACATCGAACCTAATGGGCCTTCAGCACAGTACTTGAGAGATAAAGACTGTCAGTGAACAATAGCTTACATTTTTTATTTCGTTTCCTCACAAAAAAACTATGAAAAGGAAAAAGAAAACTAAAAGCTGAAAGTACATAAGTCATACTGAATTCGTATGGTGATTTTATGATGTTTTTGACCATTCTTGACAAATGTGTCAGAAGCTGCACAAAAAATCTTTGAAAGATTCTCATTATGTGTACCATGGAAAAAATAACAGCACACAGGTTTGGATCGACATAAGGGTGAATAATGACAGAATGTTCACTTTTGGGTGAAACGGTTCCTTTAATAGGATTAAAATAAAATTTGAATGGGTTGAAATGGTTTCAGCAACTGACTTTGAGAACAGTATTATATGTTAATATGTAATTTAAACCTATGAGCAATGAAGCTGGTATTGAATCTGTTGGTGTCTTCACCCACAGAATGAAAGTCCCAAAGATATTATGTTTAACATTCATGCTTTGCTCCGTCCAAACCCAGTGCTGAGGCTCCAAACCCACTGCCAGTGCTCTCAGTGAGAAAGGCTGACAGAAACTGTCTGTTTCTTCAAATTGCTGGCTCACTGGCTTGATTTTGCTGACAGAGTAAAGCTTCTGTTCCTATGTTGGCATGCAGAGGGCAGAGTTGGACTGACCACGTCCTAATAATGACCTGGAGTGGAAACAGTGTGTCTTCTTGCCATGAAACACAAAAACGCTGGCACTTACTTGCAGCCAAGGCGGTCTTCAACGTTCTTTTTCAGAAAAAGACCGATGATGTCCTTTGAGGGGCCGTCAAAATTTTTGTGTTCAAATTTGCACTCATCTTCTAGAGTTCTCCTTACTATCTCTTCTTTAGTAACCTTCTCTTTGTGACCTCTAAAAGGCAGACGGCCAGCCACCATCTCATAGATGCTACAGCCCAAGGCCCACCAGTCCACTGACGTACGGTACGGTTCCTGCTTCAGGATCTCTGGCGCCATGTACCCTTTGGTGCCAGCCTACTATGGAAAAGACAACAAGAGGGGTTATGAGAAAAATCATTCAGCCTTCTTGAAGCCACCTGAAAAAGCATTTCAAATCATATTTAAAGACATCTATCATGGTACAAACTCTTTGACCTTTTCAACATCCTCACTAAAATCCCATTTCAGAAGAGATTCCTGAGACAAGTCAAACACACAAAAACAATCCCTTGCCATTTCACCAGTATGTGTCTCCAGGGACTCAAATCAAACCCTTTGAGGCACACTACTCTTTTGAAGAAGGGCGTGCTGTTCCAACCTAGATCAATGCCAGCTTTGCGTATTACTGTGATTAGCATTAGTGAGGGCTTATTTAGGGTCTTGTGGTACCCCTGGCTGTCTGAAATATTAGTTAACAATGAAAAAGTTAAAATTTTATTGGTAGAGCTCAGATTTTTCTCATTTTGCCACTTGGAAAAATTAGTTAAAGGCATAGTTCACCCAGAAATGAAAATTACCCCATGATTTACTCACCCTCAAGCCATCCTAGAGGTACATGACTTTCTTCTTTCAGAGAATTCAGACGAATACAATCGGAGTTATATTAAAAAAAATGTCCTGGCTCTTCCAAGCTTTATAATGTCAGTAAATGGGGTTTAAAACGCCCCTGTTATGGATAATAAAAGGTTCATATTTTGGTTTTGGGAGTCCCCAACAACAGGTTGACATGCATGCAAGGTCAAAAACACTTTCATTGTATTATAATATGCATTTATTTTTACCTTACTTGCTCAACGACTCCCAAACGATTCGTTTAACAATTCATTTTTCCTCCTTTGCGTGACGCTAATCTGCTGTGATTGGTCCGATTGGTCTCATTTTCATTTCATCATGCCTGTAATGCCTGATAAAGCAGCGTTTGTGAGCTCAGTGCTGCTTTGTGTACAGCCTTACCGGGGAATCCGCTATTTTTACCGCTCCAAAAGCGCCACCTAGTGGCAAAGAATTAATCTGCATTTTCATTGAGACCAACGCGAAACGACCAACAAGTGGGCAGGCAATATGCTAATGTTTCATGTTGAAGTCAACATGAAATGACTCTTTCTTTTGAGAGACAATAACTTTATACACGGTGCACTTTCAGATTTAAAACTTTGCAGGATGTTTTCATTCACTTAGTAATTTTCAAAAATCCATTATAGGGGCACTTTAAGATTTTTAAGGCCAAAAACTGTATCCATACATCATAAAAAGTACTCCACATAGATCCAGGGGGTTAATAAAGGCCTTCTGAAGTGAATCGATGCGTTTGTGTAAGAAAAATGTCCTTATTTAAAACTTTACAAAATTGTGATTTCTAGCTTCCGCTAATTGTCATACGTGCTTTCACAAGAGAATGGTGTTATAGCGGATGATGTACAGTAGGTAGCATAAGCTCCGGTAAGAACATACTAGTCTAGCGAGAACCAAGTTTTGTTTAAAGCAAAGAAAAAACATCCTCCTCTTGACTTATATCGAAATCCTCTGACATGAACGAAGTTTTGTTTGCTTGCTCCGTTGAGCTTCTTTGTTCATTACTTCCGCGTTCGTCTACTCTACGTCCTATGTCATCCACTGGAACGCCACTCTCTAGTTAGAGAGAGCTTTTAAATATGGATATTTTTCTTACTCAAACACTACAATTCACTTCTGAAGACTTGTATTAACCCCCAGGAGCTGTGTGGAGCACTTTTTATGATGTATGGATGCAGTTTTTTTTTGGCCTTCAAAATCTTAAACCCCATTCATTGCCATTATAAAGTTCCCAGGACATTTTTAATATAACTCTGATTGTATTCGTCTGAAAGAAATAAGTCATATACACCTATGGCTCAAGGGTGAGTAAATCATGAGGTAATTTTCATTTCTGGGTGAACTATCCCTTTAATTGTTGGAAGTATTAGAATCATTCTAAGGTATTATCCATGACATTATCCATGAGAGCTGATACAGTTAAAATGATACTGAACACAGTCATTATGATTTGGTAGATTTAAATACTAAGTATCTAATACAATTAATTGTTCAAATAAAACACAGTTTGGGCATGTTTTCTAGAGAGATGCTCCAACGGGCTGTATCTGTGGAAATGCGTATTGCAGTAGCACTATGGTGTCTGGCTACTGGGAGCTGGAAGCTATAAGACACTCTCATACCATTATTTTTTTGCCATTGGGTTGCAATTCATATTGATTTTGGAATTTTTTGCAATTTCGTATTGCAATCTGCCATGCATGCACCTGGTCTTTTCGTGACCAGATATCATGATGTGGAGTATGTGATTTTGGACACAGCCTACACATTTTCAAACTGTTCCTAATTAAACACACCTGATTCTACTCATCAGCTCATTAGAGACTTCATAGATGGATAGGATAAAGGAAACCTTCAAAATGTTTAGTATAACTGGTATAACTGAGGCCAGATGTTAGGAGCTACATTGCTGTGGTTGGGAAATATTGCTTTAAGACATGGGTAGTCAACCCAGCTCCTGGACAGCTACCATCATGAAAAGCTCAGCTCCAAATCCAAACAAACAGACCTGAACCAGCTAATCAAGGTGTTAAGGGTTACTTGAAAATTACAGACAGGTGTGTTAAAGCAGGGTTGGACGGCTTGCATCTACGGCTGCATCTGAAATTGCATACTTCCCTGTAGGCGAAAAACAGTGTGACAAAAATCCGACTACCTATAATGTACCTATATGTAATTCTGAAGTGTGCATTCGATGGACACTTTACTATCCCATGAGGCCACGGGAGAGGATTTATGAATGGTAGTGACGTGACGCAACTGACGCTGGTACGTCTCGTGACAATGACAACATGGTGAATGTAGTATGTCCAGATACAGTACATACTACATCAATTCATACTATACAGAATGTAATCTTTTTGCAGTTGTGAAAAATTACTTATTTAAAAACAGTTAGATTTCTAGGATTTCTAGGAGCAGGGTTAGCTATACCTGCTTTAGGGTTATCACTAAGTGTCAATAACTTGAGAGGTATTAGTAAATACTTTGAAAAGCTTTACACACACATTTATGATTGGGGGTGATTTTGGGACTCGGGTGTTCAGCGGTTGTCTAGGTTGTTCAGCAGGTTGTACTGATATTTGTACATACTGGATATTTGTTGGATTTAGACTTAAAAGTTTTAATATACCAGGCCAGATTGTTACCCACTAATCTACACCATCATCATCAACATCATAAAGACTTGTCTTATGTTACTGTTTTTACCTTTTGAGTGATGGTTTTCCCGTTTGGTAGTTCCACGGCTAGACCCAAGTCTGACAACCTGCACTGGCCTTGACTGTCCAGTAGGACATTCTCTGGCTTCAGGTCCCGGTACACAATATCCATCGCATGAAGGTGCAGGATACCAGTGATGATTTGGGCTGTGTAGTGAATGATGCGCTCCATCTCAATGCCAATCTCCCCAGTGTGGTAGATGTGGTACTTCAGATCCCCTCCATTCATCAGAGTCATGACCATACACAGGTGGGTTGTCGTGTCAAACGCGTAGGCCAGGTTTACCAGAAACAGGCTGTTTACCATCTCCAAGATTTTTTTCTCCAGCAGAGCCATCTTTTCACCTCCTTTTTTCTTCAGACGTTTCTTGTCTAGCTTCTTGCAGGCATACATGTGGCCCGCGTGTTTGACCTGAACAGCACACACCTAGAGAGAAATTTAAATAAAATTCAAAAGAGGAACATTACTGTTTTGAAATGGAAAGATGGGCTAGATTTGGGCAGAATTCTACATTTTGTACAAAGCAATACATTACTGCTGTAATATGGGGCAACAGTGAGAATGTACACACTTGAAATAATATTCAGATAAAGGTAATTTTTCAAAGGGGATGTAGTCTAAGCAGTGTCCATTCCTTTGATTATGTGCGCTAAATATTACGTAAAAGGTGCCCAGATGGTGCCAAGGGGATTTTTATTCCATTTGGCATTTGTATTCCACTGTTCATCAAAGGATGTCCAACTCAGTTGAAACATTGCATATTGTGTTTAGTTTGGTCTTAAAGGTATAGTGTAGAATTTCTGCCTATATAGCATCTGAAAAATAGTGACCTTCTGTTCCATTGGCTGGAGAAACAGATAGTCTTGCCCCAAAGTCCCACCACAGGTTGAGCTAGAAGCTGTCATGTTGTTCCACTGAAACTTACAGAGCAATGTTTGATAGTGCCACTCAGGGCCGTCGCTAGGAATTCTGGTCCCTGTGCACTGAATTTGCTATGGGATGCCACTGTTGGTAAAATCAACCTGTGAATGGCTTACTTTATAAGTAAGAGATTTTGCAACATGCATAACAGGACAACAAAACGACACTGTGTTTTCTAAATGCACATTCTTGGTCTTATTCTGTAAAACACATCAGTGCATGTTAGTCCACCGAAAAAAGTGAAAAAGAAAGTAGTTTGCCTTACCAAAAGGATTACAGAAAGCAAGTAACAAAACCAAAATAAACCTACACTCTGAAGACATGAATGTAAGTAACTATAGTTAAACCGAACAATAATTCAGAGACAATTCCAATTATACAATGCTCTGCAGCTAAGACAACCGACAACAACAACTTTTTTTTCTTTCCTTTTAAAAAAAAAAAAAGTTTCCTCTGTAGATTTGTTTGTGACTGGGTAGGAGGTGCAAATACTCACCTCTCCAAATCCTCCTTTCCCCAAAGTTCTGAACTCATAGAAATATTTATCAGAGATGGACTGCTTCTCGAATTGCTTCCATTGCACAAATCTATCAAAGAACGGGCTGGTCTGTTACTCAATGAAAGGTTTTCCTCTTAGAAACTCCTGTGTGGCTTCTTTAACCTGTCCCATCATTACCTCCTCAAAGTCCTTCTCAGACACAACTTTACACTTTTCCGCCATGTCCTCTGTCAGATAAGCTATGAAACTCTTGGAATCAGCTTTGCAGAATTTGTTAATGATATTCTGCCTGGCTTTGTCTTTAGCACCGGCCTCTGCCAAATTCCAGTCATTCAAGTCATCCAGAAACTCTGCAGCGGCTAGGTATTCTGGACTGGAGGCTAAAAGGAACCGTCGGAAGCATGTTTTCCCAATGGGTTGCTGCTCACAGATGTCCTCAAAGTCCTTGGGAATAGTTGCACGCACCTCTGTACAACTCTCAAGTTGGGGAAGAATTAGGCTACGCCTTCGTTTCCTCATCTCCTTGTCGTCTAGACTCTGTGCTTTCAGGTAGGCTGTGTTGGCCACCAGGTTGTCCAGTCCACCCATGTCGCACATGGCTGTGGTGAGGTGAAGGGTCAACTATGTGACGCTGCAGGTAGCAATGAATAAGAAATAAGGAGATACAGGCAGTGCAGAGTGAAGCTCTGATATGATGATGAGTCAAAATGAATGAGGCTTCGGAGCCTCAAGTCGGAGTCTTCCCTGTTCCACTCACGTAATTGCTCCGTAAGAATTAAAAATCTCGAAAAGGATTTTCTTTTAAGTAAGTCTCTTTGTATGCTAATTCGTGGATACTGCTCATGGAAAGGAACTTATGCCGTATTTTAGTTAAGAGGCTTTGGACTATGATTAGCCACAATGTTAAGGGATAGACAATGCAATTAACGTGCTCAGTCCTCTACTATCAACTTCAGTTCAAGGAAATAAACAGAACTAGATTCTACTAGGTTTATGAAGAGAATGCGAGTGGTGCTTGCTTGTGAAAACTGTGCCTCTTTAATGCTCAAGAGTGTTGCTATTCAGTGTTTTAGCATGTAGGTTTCTTACTAGCCCAAGCAAAAAGGGACACTCTGGTCCCTAGATATAGCTCAATCCTTCCTTCAGTGTTAGTGCCAGTTCACCATGTCAGCCAGTGTGAACCGACCTTGATGCCCACTTCATTGTCTGCCAAGTGAAAATACGTCAAATCACTTGGAGAAATAATAACTCTAGTTTAAAGTTTAATTCTTTTAGCGGTCTGTTCAAATTCCGAAGCCCAAGTTTGAGCCATAGTAGCTAGGCTTGCCTTAACAACTAATTACAATTAAATACTTGATGTTACAAGCTGATAGTTCATGGTTGTTTTCAGTTCTTTGAGAGTCTGAAGACTTTAGGAGCTTACAAGAGTAGGTTTAAAACTCATTATAGGAGCACATGGAATGAGAATAAAGTGAGAATAAGCCTTCATTAGGTGTAAACATTATAGCAAAATCTGTCCTCTTGGCTGCATTCAACCCAGCTTTGCGCAACGGACAGCCATGTTTCAGAGGAGGCTGTCTGGCAGACGGCTGACATCATATTCCTATAATGATACAGCATTAGCATTTATTAAGATGGCAAGATTTGAGACATTGTTTCTCTATTTTTTTCCTTATAAAATACTTAGAAAATTAAGTAATGACAATTGAAATGCTGGAAAATAGTTTTGTAGAGTAACATGTGCCTGCACATAAACGTCTTTACAACACTAACATTTTATTTAATTTTCTAAATGTGTGAGATCAGATAATAGCCAACAAGTGTCCAACAAACATATGAACTCCTTCAATACATCCCAGGAGGCACCTCATTGATTTGCCAAGCAGTTTTTCTATGTGAACATGTCTAACATGAAAATAAATTGGTTGTGCAGCAATAAAGGTTGTACTGATATTTGTACATACTGGATATTTGTTGGATTTAGACTTAAAAGTTTTAATATACCAGGCCAGATTGTTACCCACTAATCTACACCATCATCATCAACATCATAAAGACTTGTCTTATGTTACTGTTTTTACCTTTTGAGTGATGGTTTTCCCGTTTGGTAGTTCCACGGCTAGACCCAAGTCTGACAACCTGCACTGGCCTTGACTGTCCAGTAGGACATTCTCTGGCTTCAGGTCCCGGTACACAATATCCATCGCATGAAGGTGCAGGATACCAGTGATGATTTGGGCTGTGTAGTGAATGATGCGCTCCATCTCAATGCCAATCTCCCCAGTGTGGTAGATGTGGTACTTCAGATCCCCTCCATTCATCAGAGTCATGACCATACACAGGTGGGTTGTCGTGTCAAACGCGTAGGCCAGGTTTACCAGAAACAGGCTGTTTACCATCTCCAAGATTTTTTTCTCCAGCAGAGCCATCTTTTCACCTCCTTTTTTCTTCAGACGTTTCTTGTCTAGCTTCTTGCAGGCATACATGTGGCCCGCGTGTTTGACCTGAACAGCACACACCTAGAGAGAAATTTAAATAAAATTCAAAAGAGGAACATTACTGTTTTGAAATGGAAAGATGGGCTAGATTTGGGCAGAATTCTACATTTTGTACAAAGCAATACATTACTGCTGTAATATGGGGCAACAGTGAGAATGTACACACTTGAAATAATATTCAGATAAAGGTAATTTTTCAAAGGGGATGTAGTCTAAGCAGTGTCCATTCCTTTGATTATGTGCGCTAAATATTACGTAAAAGGTGCCCAGATGGTGCCAAGGGGATTTTTATTCCATTTGGCATTTGTATTCCACTGTTCATCAAAGGATGTCCAACTCAGTTGAAACATTGCATATTGTGTTTAGTTTGGTCTTAAAGGTATAGTGTAGAATTTCTGCCTATATAGCATCTGAAAAATAGTGACCTTCTGTTCCATTGGCTGGAGAAACAGATAGTCTTGCCCCAAAGTCCCACCACAGGTTGAGCTAGAAGCTGTCATGTTGTTCCACTGAAACTTACAGAGCAATGTTTGATAGTGCCACTCAGGGCCGTCGCTAGGAATTCTGGTCCCTGTGCACTGAATTTGCTATGGGATGCCACTGTTGGTAAAATCAACCTGTGAATGGCTTACTTTATAAGTAAGAGATTTTGCAACATGCATAACAGGACAACAAAACGACACTGTGTTTTCTAAATGCACATTCTTGGTCTTATTCTGTAAAACACATCAGTGCATGTTAGTCCACCGAAAAAAGTGAAAAAGAAAGTAGTTTGCCTTACCAAAAGGATTACAGAAAGCAAGTAACAAAACCAAAATAAACCTACACTCTGAAGACATGAATGTAAGTAACTATAGTTAAACCGAACAATAATTCAGAGACAATTCCAATTATACAATGCTCTGCAGCTAAGACAACCGACAACAACAACTTTTTTTTCTTTCCTTTTAAAAAAAAAAAAAGTTTCCTCTGTAGATTTGTTTGTGACTGGGTAGGAGGTGCAAATACTCACCTCTCCAAATCCTCCTTTCCCCAAAGTTCTGAACTCATAGAAATATTTATCAGAGATGGACTGCTTCTCGAATTGCTTCCATTGCACAAATCTATCAAAGAACGGGCTGGTCTGTTACTCAATGAAAGGTTTTCCTCTTAGAAACTCCTGTGTGGCTTCTTTAACCTGTCCCATCATTACCTCCTCAAAGTCCTTCTCAGACACAACTTTACACTTTTCCGCCATGTCCTCTGTCAGATAAGCTATGAAACTCTTGGAATCAGCTTTGCAGAATTTGTTAATGATATTCTGCCTGGCTTTGTCTTTAGCACCGGCCTCTGCCAAATTCCAGTCATTCAAGTCATCCAGAAACTCTGCAGCGGCTAGGTATTCTGGACTGGAGGCTAAAAGGAACCGTCGGAAGCATGTTTTCCCAATGGGTTGCTGCTCACAGATGTCCTCAAAGTCCTTGGGAATAGTTGCACGCACCTCTGTACAACTCTCAAGTTGGGGAAGAATTAGGCTACGCCTTCGTTTCCTCATCTCCTTGTCGTCTAGACTCTGTGCTTTCAGGTAGGCTGTGTTGGCCACCAGGTTGTCCAGTCCACCCATGTCGCACATGGCTGTGGTGAGGTGAAGGGTCAACTATGTGACGCTGCAGGTAGCAATGAATAAGAAATAAGGAGATACAGGCAGTGCAGAGTGAAGCTCTGATATGATGATGAGTCAAAATGAATGAGGCTTCGGAGCCTCAAGTCGGAGTCTTCCCTGTTCCACTCACGTAATTGCTCCGTAAGAATTAAAAATCTCGAAAAGGATTTTCTTTTAAGTAAGTCTCTTTGTATGCTAATTCGTGGATACTGCTCATGGAAAGGAACTTATGCCGTATTTTAGTTAAGAGGCTTTGGACTATGATTAGCCACAATGTTAAGGGATAGACAATGCAATTAACGTGCTCAGTCCTCTACTATCAACTTCAGTTCAAGGAAATAAACAGAACTAGATTCTACTAGGTTTATGAAGAGAATGCGAGTGGTGCTTGCTTGTGAAAACTGTGCCTCTTTAATGCTCAAGAGTGTTGCTATTCAGTGTTTTAGCATGTAGGTTTCTTACTAGCCCAAGCAAAAAGGGACACTCTGGTCCCTAGATATAGCTCAATCCTTCCTTCAGTGTTAGTGCCAGTTCACCATGTCAGCCAGTGTGAACCGACCTTGATGCCCACTTCATTGTCTGCCAAGTGAAAATACGTCAAATCACTTGGAGAAATAATAACTCTAGTTTAAAGTTTAATTCTTTTAGCGGTCTGTTCAAATTCCGAAGCCCAAGTTTGAGCCATAGTAGCTAGGCTTGCCTTAACAACTAATTACAATTAAATACTTGATGTTACAAGCTGATAGTTCATGGTTGTTTTCAGTTCTTTGAGAGTCTGAAGACTTTAGGAGCTTACAAGAGTAGGTTTAAAACTCATTATAGGAGCACATGGAATGAGAATAAAGTGAGAATAAGCCTTCATTAGGTGTAAACATTATAGCAAAATCTGTCCTCTTGGCTGCATTCAACCCAGCTTTGCGCAACGGACAGCCATGTTTCAGAGGAGGCTGTCTGGCAGACGGCTGACATCATATTCCTATAATGATACAGCATTAGCATTTATTAAGATGGCAAGATTTGAGACATTGTTTCTCTATTTTTTTCCTTATAAAATACTTAGAAAATTAAGTAATGACAATTGAAATGCTGGAAAATAGTTTTGTAGAGTAACATGTGCCTGCACATAAACGTCTTTACAACACTAACATTTTATTTAATTTTCTAAATGTGTGAGATCAGATAATAGCCAACAAGTGTCCAACAAACATATGAACTCCTTCAATACATCCCAGGAGGCACCTCATTGATTTGCCAAGCAGTTTTTCTATGTGAACATGTCTAACATGAAAATAAATTGGTTGTGCAGCAATAAAGATTCTATTCTTTTCTGTTGTAGAAATCAAATAATCTCAACTTGCAGATAAACACCAAGAAATGCACTTTAGGTATAGATTCGATACAGGATATATTCAAATTATATTGGGAAAGCCTTGATTATATCCATCAGGAACAGAGTG